GCACTGGCACGAATGGTGCGTGGGGCGACTCGGGCTACGAGGCTGGCTGGTCCAGTCGCGCGGACGCGTCGTGGTGGGGCCCGGACAACCAAGGAGGAAAAGCGCCAGGAAAGGGAAAGAGCAAAGAGTATGTGCCTCGTCTGGAGGGGCGCTACACCTTCGCGAAGGCCGCACTTCGTCCTTATGCCGATGAACATGGCGAGGCCGTGTATGCGAACACGTCTGTCAAAGAAATGTTCAGCAAAGAGAACATGCGTCAGGTCTTGGACTCGCGGAACTGCGAACTCGTTCGCCGACCGTCAGTTGGCCTATCGACCATATCATGCTCGGCGCAAGCTCTGGCAAATTGCCTCGAGTCCTATTCGGAGGCAGGAGAAGCCACCTCGGCTGCGGCCTTGAAGCAACTCGCGGATTTTTTCCAGACTGCAGCCGCAAGAGAGTTCCTTGGGGCGTGCGAAGTTCTAGTGAAGGAGAGGACCATCGACACGTCCTCTGCGAAACTTGAAGTTGCTCTACAGACGTGGTTCATGTTCTACCGCACGCACAAGGAGCTGCTCACCAAAGTGCTACCAGAGGTTCTTGTCTTCATCAGCACGGCGTACCTCGGAAGCGTGCAATTGCTCGAAGCTGCGACAATGTGCAACGCTCTTTCCAACTGGGTGAACAAGATCCCGAGCACTACATCGAACGCCGATGCATTGAGCTCATGGCAAGCTTCACCTAAGGACCTTGGTCTCATGAAGAAATTTTTGTTGGACTCCCTACGCAAGAGGCACGAGGAAACTGCAGCCTGGCACCGTAAGGGCATGCAAGGGGGCGACAGCGACGACGAGGAAGAGGCCTGGGGCATCGCCGTCACCAAGCGGCCACCGCCTCCTTCCAGCTCTTCAGATACAGCAAGCTCGGAGAAGGCGCGGAAGAAGGCCAAGAAGGAAGACAAGAAGCGTGCCAAGAAAGAGCGGAAAGCCAAGGAGAAGACCCGCAAAAGGGATCAAGTGGCAGCAATCGAGATCGATGAGAAAGAGGACACGGCCGAGCACGGCAGCCAGATAGACGAGGAGGGGCTGGCCGAGTGATGCATTACTGGTCGATTCGCCGGTGAGGCGCTCAGCTCAGATGTTAGAAACAGCCTTCGGGATGACCAGCATGTGACAGAACTCCCAGCGCGGAGCGGGCCGAGCCCCCGTGAGGGATGCAAATGACTTTGCCAGGCACCACCACATCAGCCGCAACCAAAAGAAGCAGCTGCAGGATCCATAGTTAGCTAGTTCAGCTCGGCGACATCACTGGTCATGTTCGAGAAGCTTCGCAGCCGTCAAAAGCTTCCAAGCACTGTAGCACGCGAGAATTACCATCCATCTCGCAAGCAGTGTCGACCTCGGTTTGCGCGACGGACGTCGAGGGTTGCTCAGCTCACTGCGTGCGAGGTACACCATGGCCAAGACTGCGGCGGCCTTCGCGTTGACCCTGCTGTCTGGAACCCGGACTCGACGCCCAGTAAGCAAACGAAATTCACGAGATGCCTCAGTGCCACAAGGTGCACCTGGGCCGTTGGCTGCTGCCAGCCGACTCAGCTCGACCGTGACTCGTCGTCCTCCTCATCGTCCTCATCAAGGAAAGCCGCCGCACCCTTCCGTGTCAGTCAGGACTCATTCCATTATATGCCCGTGCTGCCCTTGTCCTTATCAGGGCGTCAAGTTCGGACGTGCCCAGCGAGCAGAACATCCCCCGGTCGGCAGTCAAAGGCAGCCCGGTCCTATGCGACCATCAGTAAATCCCAACCGGAGAAAAGTGAGCCATGATAAGCAAAGCGAAGGCTGAGAAGGGAGTAAAGGGGAAACAAATAGACGATGAGAGCGACAGAAGAGGACGACGGCGAGGGAGAGAGTGAAGCGGCAAGGCAAGATGCCAACGTAGCGCAGGCCAGACATCCGCAGCTCCAAGATGCCGCACCTGGGGCGTTCCTGCAAACGGACGCGGCAGTCACTTGTGGCACATCCCGGGCGGCGACAAGACCTGCAGCGGACATCCAGACGCACCTTGCACTCTCGCATTGGATGGTTCGAACAACCCGGGCGCAGCCGACGAGTCAGGCCAATGCGTGCTATGCAATCCAGTGCGCTTCCGGGAACTGCTTCGGGTTCGAGGCGGCCGCGTTGTCACCCGGAGCATGAGGCTGCTTTCGGCGGCCAGCAGACAAGCAGCTTTCCGACTCATTGAGATGCACTGTGGGAGACAAGTAGCCGAGGACTTCATTAAGCGTGTTGCACGGTCTGTGCGACGCAAGAATCCAGCTCGTGCCAAACGAGGTCCGAGGGGTAAGTATGATACCACGAAGAAGGAGCACAGGCAGGGTAAACCTGATCCCTGGCATGTTCGGACACGCAGCAAGCTAGGGCGTTCGGACACTCGATCTTCCAGAAGCTCGAAGAAAGCTCGGACAGAGGCCAAGGAAGACGTAAAGGACATCATCGACTCCAGGCACGAGACCGCGGAAGATCATGCGGTGCCAGAGTGCCGGACGAAGCAAGACAACTCTGAGGATGACATGCAGGGGGACTGAAGCTTGACCAGCTGGGTGAGCAGGCTCATCTAAGAGGGACGGCCAATTCGAATGCATGAACAGCCTAGCAGTTGCCGAGTCTGTCCTATCGAGCCGCAACGTCTTGGAAGAGACACCGCCATGTCAGCAGTGTGCAAGCGACAATAGATGCAGCCGGCCAGGCATAGAGATAGCTGCGGTGCGGGCGAAGCCCCCGCAGAACTCCGGAACGTCGCCAGATGGTTGGCAGAGAAAGAGATTCGAGCGTCGGGGAAGACATGTCAATTATGATATCAGGTGCATGCAAAGGCCAGCGGCCCATGGTAATCCGCCTGCGAATCTGCGAGCTGTTCAAGATTGTCTACAACAGATAGCTCTGTCCTGGCCGTGGTTTGTCATCGCAAGGGTGCCGCCAGCTCAGTCGTCGCTGCTCGCCGGCAGACAAGAATCAACATCCTGGGCTCTGCCTGGCGAAGGCGATCTCATGGAACGGTTCCTGCAGGGAGCTCAAGTAATTTTTCATCATGAAACAACTCGGCAACATCTGTACGTGCAATTCACCTTGTAGCTCTCAGGTCTGGCGAAAAGTCTCCGACCGCCGAGTCTTCGCCGTACGGTTGGCACGAAGACATGGCACAGAGGCAGGGTCGTACGCGCGTGATGCAAGGGATCAGCGTGGAACCTTCGTGCCAAGACACAACTCACAGGTTGCAGAACGACTCACAGGATGCTTGGCCTCGGACTCGGTTGCTTTGGCATACACGGTCGAGAAGCACTAGTAAGTCACTACTAGTTAGCAGTTAGCAACAACACGATCACGAGGGGAGTACCCGATGCCGTCGGCGAAGGGCTGCGGCCTCAGCTAGGCTGCGTGGGGATGTCCCGCACGAACGAGTGCTCCATGCGAAGGTTCTGGCCCGGCCACACAGAGGATGATCGCGGTCTTGACCCTGAACAACGAAATCTGACGGCAGAGCTGGCCACTATGTCGGTGACGGAGCCAGCGAGATTTCACAAGTGCTTGCAGGAGATCGAGCAGACACTGGGAATGGACGAAGCCGTCGAGCAACTCCGGCTTCTGTGTGTTCGCTCTTCGCTGGCCGTCGATCAGCTTCTCTTGGAGGAGCATGCAACAGACATACCACACACAGGAGGCATTCATTTCACCGCAAAGGACCCGGATCCTAGGGAGAAATGGGTCGACTTGAGATGGGCCTTGCTGTTCAAGCCCGACTGCTGCCGCAAGATCCTCTACGAAGGCAAGACTTGGGAGATTCGGGGTACTGCATGTCGAAAGCACCTCGGGAAGCGCGTATGCATTGCACAGACTGGCAGCGGCATGCTGCTCGGAGAGGCAACTGTGAAGGAGTCCCGGGCAGTTACGGAGGAAGACTTAGAAGCTGCGCGGCATCTACATCAAATCTCAGACGTGACCAAGATACCGTACTCCAGGCCGCATGCCTGGATCCTGGAAGATGTGGTCGCGTATGAGCAGCCGGTGCCATACTCGCACCCTCAGGGGTGGACGGTCTGGATCCCACTCAACTCAGCATCTGCGCAACGGCCTCCTGCAAAAGCAGTCGCGCGGAGAAGCAAGCGAGCCGTCGCCTCCCCGTCCTGGCCGGAGTTGTTGGAATACAGGCAGAACAGCTCGGCTCCAGAAGAAGCACCGCGGCACCTGCACGCAGAGCGGGACAGGCTTCGTCGCTTGGCCAAGAAGTTTCCGGTCGTATACGGATCGAAAGCCCGTCCAGAACAAGCCTGGATGACGCGGAGAGCTCGTGCCTTTAGGACCTGGTGCACCTCGTCGTCCTGGAGGATGTGCAACTGTTGCGGCCGCATGGTACCTCAGCCTTACAAATCGCAACATGCACGCGGTGCGGCCCGCATGGAGAACACATTGTCCCAGTGCCAGTTCTGCCGATCCGATGGCACGCAAGGATATTGGGCGCCCAACAAAGACGACGTGCCTCGCAAACTTCAGAACTTGCCCCCGGAAGTCATTGAGGCGCTCCGGCCCTTCAACATCCACAAAGGGCCCGAGTGTCGCGCACCCCATGGATACGAGGTGCACACGGATATGCTTCGATTTTCCTTCAAAACAGAGTCCGTGGAAGAGGCTTTGGCGCGGCTGCCCCGCAAAGCGCGCAAGAAGGGCGAGAAGGCGTTGGTGTACTTGCTGAAGTCGGACGTGTCGTCATACGACGCACTGTGGCAGTTGCATCACAGGTTTCTGGCCAAACGCAAGCGACAGATCCGGAGGGGGGATATCGGGCCTGGAGCTCCTGTCAAGCGCCTTCCAGTCAACTTCATCGAAACAGTGGGCCTCGAATGCAGCCTGTGGCCGCACCTGTATTGGCGAACAGACATGACCGAGACGCACACCCGGTCCATGGATGTCCGCAGAAGGAAGCGTCGGCCACGCAAGGACGCCTGGGACAGCTCCGGATCTGAGGAAATGGACGGGAGCCGCCGTGGGCGCCAGAGCGCGAAAGCCAGCTTCCTGGCCAAGGCCCATTCCTGTGTGATCGGCTACAACAGTGATCCCACCTTGCTGCAGTATGTCTACGATCTGTGGCTCTTCACCACAGTGGGCGGGGCACGATCGGCCACAAGCAGCAGCATCAGGGAGGCGCTGGCGTCCAAACCCTATTCGCCAGAACTGTGGCGAGGCTACCATGCCGCTCTGGTGGACCTGCAGCGACAGCTTGGCTGGCCGCAGCTATTCATCACCGTAGCCCCCTACGAGTGGAGCTTCCCTTACCATGTTTGGCACGAAGACGAGCTGGGCAAGGTGTTGAAGGCGCGCTTGCACCTGCCTGTGGCCGAAACGCTTCACATTGCACACGTCCTCACACAAGCAGTGAAAGGCCTTCTGACGGGTAGCAACGAAGGTCTGCAGGGACAGGGACGAGAGCATATTTTTTCTGCGGGCTGCAGTAAAGGGGTGCGGAAGTGGGTGGCGCGACTGGAATTCCAGGACGGAAAGAGGAAGCGAGGACAGTTCAGGGAGCCCCAAGCTTATCATGGGCGTGGAACCGTGCACGTGCACATATTGCTCTGGCTGGAAAACATGGACTCGATGAGCCTCTCCGAAGAAATCCGGGCTGATATTCCCGATGAGTCAGAGCCGGAGCTGCGAGACCTGGTGCGTGGCTCGCAGTTGGATTGGACAAACAGTGGCTGGCCCGTTCGCAGCGAGCCAACCAAGATATCCGAAAGCTCGGGCTTGCTGGAACTCCGACATCCGCAAGATGCCCACGACCAGCACTGCCGAGCCTATCTCACGGACGTGCTCGCCGCTTTGCACTGCCACACAGACGTGGTAGCGTCGGACGGCCGCGCTATGATCCTGAAGTATTGCGCAAGCCCCTCGGATGCAAACAGTCGGCCACGTGATAGACTCGCAATGAGGCGCGCTGAATAGTGCTGCCAGGTTACCTTCCGAAGTTCTCCAGCTCCTTCGCGCAAGAATTGCTCAACGACCAGGCAAGTGGCTTCGCACTGGCGAGACGCATTCTGGCAGACTATCACCCACTTCAGCCCGAAATGGTCATGCAGCTGGCAGCACAGCAACATCCGCAGTTCCTTTGCCCGGCCGTTGTTCGAAAATTCGTGGTGCCCGTGCCGTGGAAGAAGGAGATGCCGCAGGAGGTTCGGAATTATATGGATTGCTCCTGGCGACGAAGGAGCATGAGTCTCATCGAATATCTACGGGTGTCCGGCTCGGGTGGACAAATTGCCCAACGCTATCGGCGGTTACACAAGGCTCGCAAGATCGGAATGCCACTGACACAATGGATCAACACTATTGCAGCGGAAGGAGAGATTCTGGTTGCCTGTATCATGTACTCAAGCTACAGTGATCTCCATTTCGGACAGTGGTTGCTGTTGCACGTGCCTTTCCGAGACATAGCCGATCTCTGGGATGACCGAGTGGACTGCCTTCCGGAAGAGCTGCGCTTTCTGGGCCTCTGCCTTCTGCACCGACCAGACTTCTGGCGTAGCCCGCGTCGTATCGCAGGTGAACTGGAACTGGAAGCTAGAACCGACTTATACATTACCAACACACTGGAGGTAATACGTGCAAGAACCGAACTCATCGATGCCTTCCTCTCCGGCGAAGTCGAGGTACCGACAGGCCCACCGCATTCCGAGGTGGCAAGAGCGGCCCAAGCGCCACGTTTCGAGATGCTGGCGCCAGAGCAGCAGCTGGTGGCGCGAACAATCGGTGAGAGAGTCGACACAGCACTCGCGTGCAAGTGGCCAGAGGACAGTAATGAAGCTTCATGGTGGAAGTGCCTGGATGCAAACAGTCAGTCCGTCGGAAGGCGCGTCACTGCCATCCTCGGCCCCGCCGGAAGCGGCAAGAGCACGGCCGTGCAGGCGGCCATTCGCAGAGCGGCGGAAGCAGGGGCGCACGTGGGCGTTGCCTGCCCGACGGGCCTTTTGGCGTCTAAGTACAGGGTCGACAACCCGGATCTGGATGTGGACACCATCCACGGCATGTTCGCCTTGTACAAGGACGAGGTTGCCACGCTGGAAATGATGAACATCTACGACCTCGTAGTGATTGACGAGATTGGGCAGGTGCCTCTGTGGATTTTCGAGCGTATCCTGAGGCTATGGGATGCTGCTGACCGTCGACCTGCATTGGTGTTGGTCGGCGACTTCTGCCAGTTGACAGGGCCTGACGGAACGACGGCACAGCAAAGTGCACGCTGGCCGGAGGTCGGCAAGGTGTATCTCCACACCATGAGGCGCTGCAAATGCTCGCAGCTCCGCTGGAAATTACAGTTACTCCGCAGCACAACACCTTCCGGTAGACAGCTCCGCCAGATTCTGAAGAAGCATAGTGCATGTGGCTCAGACAACATGCCAACGGCAGACAACGTGGCAAGCATCCTCCGCAGGACTCCAAGAACGCAGTTCGTCACTATTTCCCGACGAGCTTCGGCTCGCCTGAACCACCTGGCGATCGGGGCGCTGTTCGACGAGACCCAACTTTTAGGCTACATTCCGGCCGATCCGGACGAGAACCATCGCAACTTCCACGGTCAGTCCAGGATGAATGCAGAACCATTTCGAATGCCCGTATTTCCCGGAATGCGTGTCACAATCACAAAGAACGAAGACAAAGAGCATGGTTTCGTCAATGGCATGGGTGGAGTCGTGCAGCGGATGCGCCATAGTGGTCTGCAGGTCCTGTTGGACAATGGCAAGATCGCACTGATCCACCCCGTCACCCAAGATTACGAGCTGGCGGACGGATCTGTTCGACGAGTCACAGCCCTGCCTCTGAGACTCGGATACAGCAGCACTCTGCACAAAATTCAGGGTGCCACGTTGGATCATGCTACGATATGGCTGGATGTTCCTTTCGTTCGAGGGGCGGCATATGTCGCAATATCTCGAGTGCGGAAAGACGCGAACTGGCAATTCCTTGGTCGCATCGAGAGGACGCACTGTGTGCCCGCAGGCAGCGATTGATAGCATGTAGCACAGGCCAGTACGGTGCGGGCGCAGCCCCCGTACGGAAAGACAGGTTGCAGAAGCGGCGCAGAAAACAAGCCATGTGCAATTGCTCCATGAACCGCATACTGTCACGGTGGACCGAGTCCGGCTAAGCCATAAACGTTTATGGTTTAGGCCGCAGTCCGTTTGTAGTTTAAAGCCCAGCATGGGGGGAGCCCCGACATCGGCCAGTTCTAACGGCTTCGTCGTGTTACACCAATAGACGTAGTTTCGAGCAAGCGGATATGTACTTTACATTAGGACAGAATAAAGATGGCCCATTGCACAGTGTACAGACCGAAGTCCGCAGCTTGCCTAGTTGATAGAAAAAAGGTATGCCGACTCACAGCTTAGGCTCGCCAGGCCTGCTTATAATTTAGGCCCACAATGGGACGTACACCATCATCGGAACCGGACCATTGGTAGTTTAGGCCCGAGTCCGGCGAAACTATAAACGTCTGTAGTTTAGGCCGCAGTCCGCCGAAACTA